GAGTTGTATTCTCGCCAATCCGGTAGGAAAAGAAGAAAAACCAAAAATAAAAAACAACATATATTTACAAAAAAAAAAGTGAATATGAAAACTGTTAATTGTAAAAAAAAAAAAATAGTCGTAGGAATGAACAAAATACACAATGATGAATGAGACAACAAAGGATGGTTAATTCTGAAAGTGCCAATAAATTGCTTATAATCCAGCCACATATATTTTATCAAGAGTTCGCTTTTGTCTATCTAATGCATTCATCTTATTAAAAATTAAATAAATTAATTAAATTAATTAAATAGATATTAATGACACATTCTAGTTTATAAAAAAATAATTTTACATTTTTACCTTTTCTAATTCTTCGCCCAAATAGACACAAGTTTGAGTTAAACGATTGATTTCATCGAGAAGAAAAGACTCTTTTCTTGACTAATTCTTAAGATGCAAGACAGCTTTACACAAAAATTGACAATAATTGTGATGAGTTCTGCAAATTATATGTTTCATTGTTAAATGGTATCAATATAAATAAAAACTGTGATCACCTTTCTGCAGTAAAACAGCTTTACTCATCTTGCAGCCTGTATAAGTGATCGAAAGCTGTTTACGAAGTTCTTCAAAACTTTCTTTGATTTCTGCATGTCGTTTTTGCTCTGATTGAACATGTATTTGACGCCTGAATTCGGCATGTGTGCTGTGATCAATGATAAAATCAATTTTTTGTTTATTTTTTTCTGAAATGTAAAATTATAAATTTGTTCTAGCACATTGCACGTACCTGCTTGTATCATCAATATCATCTCCATCTAAAGAGGAATTATCGAAATGCTCATCATGTGATGAATTTCTCCACTGGCCACATTTACTTTTTTGACTTTTGTATTTTTCTTTGCTGTATTGAAAAAATTTGGAATGTCTAATTCTCTAATTCATCTGTAAAAAGTTGTGATAAAGGTGCAGATGAAGGTAATTGTGTTTCTTGAACTGCTTGCGTGTTGTCGTGAAAAAACATGTCTGAAAGTACGTTTGTTGACATTTCTAAAGAAGCGGGTGATAGGCTAGTTAAAGATGTATCTAGTGATGAGCATGTATAAATTTTAAAAAAAGATAAAAAATAAATTAGCTTTGACTTTAAAAAAAAGATGCTGTCATAACATTATTTGAACCGAAAGTACATAAACTTTATAAAATTCATTCTACACTTTCTTTGTTTATTATAAATATCTGCTGCGTAAACCATAGTAGTCGAGCGTGTTTTGTTTTCTAACAAAAATAAATAAATAGATAAATAGCCATTTTACCTAGGTTTAGATTTGCGAGGATTTGTGTAATGGCTTCAGGTAGAAAGACAAAACTTGAGGAAAACTACATGTTATCAAGATATTTTGGTGTAAAAGCAAAGTTTTTTGTATCGTAACAAGTGATGTTTAAAATTGTTAGAAATTACAGCTTTTTTATAATTAAAAAAATAAAGTGTGATTTGATCGTTCTTTCTTGCCAAGGAGGAACAATTCCAATTTATCTAATTTTATATTTTCTTTATATAATTGATGGTTTTTGTACAATTGTCAATATAAACATATACCAAGATCTGTCTTAAATTTTTCAAAGAGTAATAAATAACATAGTTCAAATAAATTTCTGCAAAACCTGTCAATTCAAGGTAATAAATAACTTGGTTTAATTATTATAACTATAAAACAAGTTTAAAAATATGTAAAGATCCATAATATAAGGTATAGTATCTAAATATAACAATACAATTATAACTGAGATTTTATCTTTTATATAGAGAAAAATCAGGTATTTTTAACGTATTTATTAACTCTATTGCTATTGTTCATAAATTAGCTCATATTGTTAAAACCTCATACCAATCTATATTTTCGAAATACAAGATTCAAGGTATTCTGTTTAATTATATTATAAATATTAAAATAAATTGGCTTAAATATAGCATATATATACAGTATTTTTAACTAGTATTAAACTCTTAGCATGAGACAATAAAAAATCAAGATCTGCAATATGCTGTACATACAGTACTATTTATTTAACAACTAAGAAATATATAGATCTACAAGTTTACATTAATAAATAAATATTAAAAATTAGTTAATTGAATTTCACCGAATATTTTTTAGTATAGCTAATTAGCTAATCTAACTTAATCAGTGAGCAAGTATTACTGATTAGAAATCCGGTTAATGTGGAAAGTAAACATGATTTGAGATTATGCTATTATTATATGCTTGGTTTTATATATAAAGAAAGTGTTTGTTACTATTTTAAATTTTAATTCAGTAACCATATCTAAGAATAATTTTGTAATTGCTGAAGATTCGGAAAGAGAAATCATTTCTGTTTTGATTTTAAAAAGTGAATTTTATGATAGATGACTGAAGCATATAAAGAATGGCTTCTTAATGAAAAGAGTAATGATAACGAATATTATACGAGAATTTATAAACTATTCAATGAAGACAATAAAACAAAACTTTGATTGAAGATAACATCGTGAAGATGGTACAAGAAAGAGATCTTGAAAGAAGACTTATTGCAGAAGAATGTATAAAAAATATTAATTTTTTGAGGCAAACATTTGGATTCTATCCTATTGAATTAGAAGATCAAAGTATCAAGGTCGGGCCTTCAGAAAAAGATGATGTTTTCGAGAATAAAGAAGAAATTTATGATAATATGATTATAGAATATAAATTTTGGTTTTTCCTCAAACATATTGAAACAGAAGAAAATTATTTGAGGCTTTTTGAACTTATTAAAGAAAAGAAAAATAAAGATAACTATTCAAAACTTTGCAGAGTAAATGCTTTCGAGACACTGGTCAATGAAAGAGAACTTAAAAGGTCAAATATTGCAAAAACATGTTTAAATAACATTAACAATTTAAAGAAAATTAAAAAGTTTGGCATTTAGAATTCTATTTTCACTTTTCATATAAAAAATTATATAGTTTATAATATGTGTATCATTAATAAATAACTATACAATTATTTCTTTCCTTTCGCATATGTTATGTCAAAAAAATTTTTTTTTGGAATCTTATAGACTTAATATTTTAGCTACAAATTCCCCAATTCTTGTTCAATGCTGTAAAATATACTAAAATAAAACTTGCTTATTGCGTTTTTTTCTTGATAGTAAAATGATATATATGTATTTACCTAATTTGATTAGTTAACTTCATGCTCACATGATTGATTTAATTGGTCAAAAAATTCTTTGTAGTTTATAATTTTGACTAATCATCAATTTAATGTGATTAACCAATCATTAAAGATTATCAAAAGATCTAAAGGTCACAGAAACACAAAATCACGAATTACAACATTTTGCAAGTGACTATAACTACAGTTTCTGTATAAAACTAAAAACTATAGAAATCATAGCAAGTGTCTTCTATAGAAATTAAAGAGGACAAAATTAAGCCCAAGTTCATAACAATTGCAAATCAAATATATGTACAAAAATTTTTAAAGCACGAATATTTGAATTTGAGAAAATTTATTTTGATTTTTTTGTTTCCTTTAACTTCGCACTAAATTTCCAACTGTTTTAAGATTTTGTTTTTCAGAATTTTGTGCTAATACCAATATCTACTTATAATATATAAAATTTAAAATTGTAATTAGTTACTCCAAAAATATAATTTATAATTCTGATAAAATTCTGGTAGATAAAAAAATTATTTTTATTCACTAACAACAAAAAAATAAAAATTCTTGTTATAACAAAAAATTGTAAAATCATTACAACTGTAATATATACCTATACAAAGAATTTATTCTAAAATTGCTAAGAAAAATTTAATATCCCAAAATTCATAGAAGTTGTTATATGATTGAATCGGCTGATGATGAATCCGTAACGGAAGAATAGTTATATAAGAAGCAATAATAAACCGTGATGGTATATAAAATGAAATAGAAGCGAGAAGAGCTTGGAAGGAATAATTAGAATTCTTTAAAAGACAAGTTTTTATATTTTACCCTCTCAGATTTGATTGAATCAAATATTTAACGTATCATCATTGAGGTTTAAAATAACAAAGTAATTCTATATAAATTTTTGACCAAAAATTTTGTTGTGGGTGATAAGACTTTTTCATATAGATTAGGTTTTCTTCATCATTAACTTGAGATGTAAACAGTTGTTCACACATTAGTTATATTTACATAACTCCGAGAAATCTAATTAACTTCTATTTCACATATGATCGTGTTGAGCCTTCCTTCACTGCAATAACTCAGAGAAACAAGATATATTCTCTTCACAGTAATCGCTCAAAGAAGACTTGTCCCCGATTTTCTATACAAAAACCAAGTACATAAAGTGGATATCTAATTATAAAGAAGAAAGAAAATAAAAACAAAATATACTTTCCTTATGTTCTATAGAGTACACGTAGAGTATTTTCAAAGGAGTATTACGATAAAACCATGTAAAATTTGAACAAGGTTGTAAACACAAAAAAAAAAACATTTATTCGATAAAAATATAAAGCTCATTCTGCAATTACAAAGACTTCAACAATCCTTTCAATTTCTTTATTCCTTTCTTTCATGTCTTTAATCTCTTCATTTAACTCTAGATTCTGAATACATGAAAAAATATATTAAATATATATTTAATTTAATATAATATATGTTTAAAAAACTTACCCGTTGGACCAGAGAATAGTTTTCTTTCTTTAATGATTCACACTGTTCGATAAAATAATCATTGTTATTTTTAATTAACGCTTGGTATTCCTGTTAAAGAGT